CGTAGTGGTGATATGGACTGGGTCAGCCTGAGTACTATTAAACGGGATACCAAGAGTGGTGAGGTTGATATCATCCTCAATTCTGTTTTGGAGCGAAGTTGGAGGCTACCCGATACCACACCGCACAACTGATGTATTTGCAATACCCTGGTTAGCCATAGTGGGCAGTATCATAGGAAATACCAGAAGTTTCGAAGATTTCGTGTATTTGTGCTGAAACCTGGAAATAGTACTTCAGTAGAGTAATGAGACGGGGCATGAGGAATATCAATCTAACGACCAGTACTGGATGGAGATAAATTGGTGCCCGCTGTTCATGAAAAAACTCCATAGATGTTCGTAGAGAGTCTATATGCCGTGGTAGTCATCCCGATTCTGTAGCTGTTGTAGTCAATCCGGTTCATTTGGCGGTAGGTTAGGACTCACCAGGATAGGCCTTACTAAGATACTGATACAAGCAAAGTGGCTGTGGGGGGGAACTTGTCTCCAGGGCACACTGGACAGAGGCCTCCACTATTACGATGGTCAAGCAATTTGAGCAGGAACTTGTTGGTTGTTATCATGGCACAAAGGCAAATAAGGTTGTGTTCATGACAATGGGTAAAGCTATCATGGGAGGGCTCGTTTTTGTCCGTGATGGGAAGCTCTCCCCTTACAAGTCGATGGTAGCATTGGCGAGCCTTGCCTGCTATCTCCTTTGTTGTGAGACGTCGTGAGGTACTATGTTGGATCTGCTCGTGGGTGTTTCAGAGTTTTTTTTGTGTTGAGGTGTCCACGCGCCCCTCGATTCTAGATATGCGTAAACACTGAACGGAAATTTGTCCGGAGGTACGGGAAGCCTTCTAAAATAGCCACGAATCGACCAAAGAAATTCGTGTAGTGATAAATCTTACACATTGAGGAAAAACTGCATTAGCAAAAACAAATATTTTTCGGTTTACGTTTAGTACTCACAAATACATCGTGTGGGGGTGTGGGGGCTGTGCACTGAAAAACTTGCACGTCTTTTTTACCCTGCGAGTGAGTTCCTATACAATTTTTTTTCTTCACAGGTATGTAACTTCTACGAATCACGAATATAAAGAACCAATAAGTCACTAATATTGTATATGTCCATGAATAGTATTTGTCTGCGGAATTTGTCTTTAGTAAAACTTCAAAATGGTTTAAATCATAGAACATTCAATAGAAGTTACAATAGGGATATACATATCGCACAAGCAAATACTTGGGTGTATATCGATAGGAACAAATGTGTGCACAAATATATAGATATAAATTGAGCGTACATTTATATTATGATTTCTTTTTTACATATAATACAAACAGTTTGTACACACTTATTTTACAAGGTACGATATATCTTTATGGTCGGCGGTCAGAGTTAGTAGCACAAAGTACTTAGCACCTGTTTACCTGAAAATGCTTACCTGTAATATAAATTGAACCAATATTATAAATTGAACCAAGTTGATACTGGCATCCGAGTCATTAGTCGGTCGCGTATACCTGTGAACTTTTCTCGGTTGAGCGGCTTAGTGAAGGAATCGCTGAGTAGCTGCTCCGATGTTATGTATTCTAGCTTGATGGTGTTGTCCGTTGTGAGTTATCTGATGTGATGATATCGTAGGTCGACATGTTTAGTACGGCGGGATTTCGTGATACCATTGTCCTGTTCTATGGTAGTGGGCTCGACAAGAGGAATGCCGAATTCCGTGAAGATATTCTTAGAACATACCTCGTCATTAGCTGTATCAGATTGTGCGACGTATTGTGCCTTTGTTGTAGAAGTTGTCACTAATCGTCGCAAATTTATTCCCCACATAAACGGTTAGCCTACTATATTGCCTACCCACCAGGTGGTGGATCGTCTTGTTGTGTCATCGTTAGCAAAGTTACTGTCTGCACGCAGATATGAAACATATGATATTTTTGTTCATGTATTCGAGGCCAAAGTCTTGAGCACCAACGAGATATTTTAAACATCGCTTGGCTTCTCTGAAGTATCAGATAGCGATTTAGGATTGAAACAGCAAAGCATATATCCACTCGTGTTTGATCTACAAGATATTGTAGCTGAGCGACTAGCTTGTTGTATTATGTGATTGTTGGGACGTCCGAACTTGCCACTTTTTCTGAGATATACGCGTGTTTGCCTGTCACTCCATAGTCTAACTATATAATTAGCATCCGTATGGTTTACAGCCTGTTAATCCTCATTCCTGCAATACTTCTCCTATGTATTGTCGTTTGATGAAGGCGTACTCTTCCAGTATTCCTGTCAGTCTTACTCTGGCATGCTGCACTTTTGTCGTCTACGTGTACAATAACGAACCCATCCGTACTGGTTTACAGCCTGTTAATCCTCATTCCTGCTATACTTCTCCTATGTATTTTCGTTTGATGAAGGCGTACTCTTCCAGTATTCCTGTCAGTCTTACTCTGGCATGCTGCACTTTTGTCGTCTACATGCACAATAACGAACCACGGTCCACTGTGGGGTTGTTTGATGAACAGCGTTCCATCCGATTGTGCTTGTTTATAGTTGTGGTGTATATCGACTCGAAGGACAGCTTTAAACCTGAAGTGCCCGCTGGATAGAAGAACGTATACGCAACGATCAACTCGACATATGACCTATATGTCTCTTTGTTTGTACCTTTCGTATAACTATTTCTGAAATGGATCGAGTAGATGTTCAATGAGATCGCTTCCTTATGTCACCCGCATGGTGGTGGATCGTCTTGTTGTGTCATCGTTAGCAAAGTTACTGTCTGCACGCAGATATGAAACATATGATATTTTTGTTCATGTATTCGAGGCCAAAGTCTTGAGCACCAACGAGATATTTTAAACATCGCTTGGCTTCTCTGAAGTATCAGATAGCGATTTAGGATTGAAACAGCAAAGCATATATCCACTCGTGTTTGATCTACAAGATATTGTAGCTGAGCGACTAGCTTGTTGTATTATGTGATTGTTGGGACGTCCGAACTTGCCACTTTTTCTGAGATATACGCGTGTTTGCCTGTCACTCCAAAGTCTAACTATATAATAGAAAACTGTCGCCATCAGCACAGTAGAGGCAGAATGCGTTTCAGCCTCTGAAGCCACCAAATATACTCAAATGTTACGGGATCTCCCCCTCAAACAGCGCATGCGCCTCTATGTTGCGACAACGCATCTGTTGTACACGTGATCGACACCACTGATTCCACAAAACTAATGAAACATGTGGATATTTGCATGCATCAAATCCACGATATACAGGAGCACGGCATGATCGAGGCACCATATATCGGCACTGCAGACAATCTGGCAGATATCTTAACCACAAATACCCTCACGTCTGACAACATGATTGCTACACGACGTTCCCATTACTCCCACTACTACCTGAGAGGCTATATTCGTACAATCATAAGCAGAACTAAGGAAGTGATTGTACTTTTATACTATTGAAACCACCGGATTCAGGGGAGTGTCAGGACAACTTCAATACTGATGAGTATCTAAAAGTACGCAAGATGTTAAAAGGTGTCACCAGTAGGTAATGACACCTCCTGTCATATGAAAGTATTCAAATATGACACACAGAAAATGATGTATATATACCACACGAAAGAAATCAAAGGAAACACTCTCAACAGTATTTATATAGCTTAACACCAAAAACTGCATATATTTCACCTTTGTGTCGAACAAGCAGTGTTTGCATTTCGGCATCATATTCATCTATATCTTTGATATTCTGGGGTTGAATTTTATTTTATTACCTGTTTTTCCTATATATATATCTAGGCAGCCTTGGTAATAATATATGACTAAGCCTATTTGTACTGTTCTTAAGCTTACACATATGCAATCTTACATTCATATGAACCTATTAGGATATCAAAATACTGACCGTAGTCCTACTCTGACACTGGGCATATTTCACTTTTGCTTTTACTGTCGACAAGGCAGTAACCCTCTGTGTATATACACGTATCCTTACTGCGTCAAGAAATATATTTCACCATGTTCACCCACTTAAACCTTCCGTGTTTGATGCAACAAGGCGTCATGTCACCACGTCTCTTAGGTTTACGAAACATTAAAACACAATAATAAACCTCACCCTAAACTCCACTGGGTTACCACGCTTTCAAATTAATTCCGCCACCTTAGAAGTACGGCATCTAGTACTCTAATGCTTCAAGATCAAATATGATAAGTCATTGGTTTTTTATCTGTATCTAAATGATTAAATACGAATTCTACTGTATTGAAGTAAAATGGTTCACATACCTCCACCTATCTACATTGAAGCTATTGAGCTATAAACCCTTAGTACTTCTAGTGAACACAGTGATGCCAGAGATGCTTTCTGTATCTTCGAGGTTTTAAGGCTTTTACCAAGTGGCAACCTCGATCCTTCATATTCAATCTCCCACTGCTCAATCCTAACTGACTTAACTTGTCTTATATTTATTTCAATATAATAGAACTTATATTTCCTCTGAAGTTTACATAATTTTCAGTTATTAAGTAGTGATACTATACCTCTGTAACTACCTGTTCATGAGAGTATCAGCATCTAAGCCTTAACTATGCCGAGTGCTCGAAGTAAAGAGAAGAGAGCCGCCGGCGCTAAACCTGTGAAGCCTACTGATGTCCCAGAGGACGCGTCTGGCCCTTCTACTAATAAGCCTGCCAAAGAACTGTCGAGGAAGTGTTTTCAAAGATGAGTCAGGAATATTTTGTATTGGAAGTACTCATGGAGCCTTCCACTTCGGATACCGAGCTTCACACAACCCCGTAACTCCTGGCCAATGCTAGGGTATCATCTAAAGATACACCCGAGACGATAGTTTGGGTCCTGATCCCATTCCATTAAATGTTGGGACCAGCCAAATTAATGTTGGAGGAAATATTGGTACCAATGGTGAGGACGCTATGACATCTCAACGGATGGAGGAGTCAACATGAATCCGACGCCAAATAAAAACCAAAGAGAAGCCCTCGGGTTCTGTCATTGATGTTGTGGCCATTCCATCGAATGTTGCGGAAGGGAGATTACTTGTTGGGGCCGATATTTGTGACCTATTCCCTAGCGACGGCTGAACGAATTTTTGACTCCTCGACGCCAA